CTGAAAGGCATAGGCTGTACTTTTTGAAGGTCCCCTGTCCCAGAGCTGCTGGGAAAGAGAGCCCCAGAAAGAGCTGGCATCTGGGTGGATGAAATCAGGTTAAAGGTTAGCTTAGGAGACAGAAGCAGGACTGTTGGTTTAGGGGTGCTACCCACCCGCTTTCATGTATTCCTGGGTTGTCTGCTCCTTGGTCTGTTTCCCGACTGTATAATACTGTATAATGGGGAGGAATGGATGTTGAGATTTGCTCCAGGGCTGTAATGGTGCCCACTAAGGGCTGGAGGGTAAGCCAGGAGGGGTTAGAGACAACTTCTCAAAGGAAGATTTGGAGTTGTGAATGCAATGGTTGCCTGGGAATTGGACTCTAAGTGGGGTGCTGTTGGCTTCTGGAAAGGCTGAGAGTGAGACGGACCAGCCTACAGATTCCTTCACAGGACAGAGCTGATGGTTTTCCCGTACCTGCCCAGCCTCTCAGGAATGTGTGTATGTTTGGAAAAGGTGTCTGCTCTCCCCGGGGTCCCTAAAATGCCCCTCACTCTGAGAAAACACACACTGTGGGGGAAAAGACCATGGCTTTGGGTGTGGACGCATGGTTTCTGGAGCCTGCCGTGACCTTCTTTATGTCAGGCTCACCTCAGAGGCCTTGTCTCTGAGCCTCAGGGCTCTGAGCGTGGAACATCAGTTAACCGGCAGAGTCTGGTATACCTGTGGAAGCTCAAGGGTTCTCTGGCTCAGGGTGTTTTTCTCTCTCCTGCACAGGGCAGGACCATGTGGACTTTGGCCAGCCTGAGCCCCACACCGTGCTTTTCCATGAGCCGGGCAGCTTCTCTGTGTGGGTGGGTGGACGTGGCAAGGTCTACCTCTTCAACTTCCCCGAGGGCAAGAATGCCTCTGTGCGCACGGTGAGCTTGGGTCTCCTCTGCCCTCCCCTTCCCTTTCCTCATCCCAGGCTTCTGGTCCTGGTAAGGGCCCTGAGGGAGTGTGAAGGCGCTGGGACATCTTTCTACCGAGGTCCTTCTATCTCCATAACCTCACACACGGTTCCTGGGGGAAGTTACTGTTGGTAGTCCACGTTGGAGTGGAGTCAGGGTATCAGGAGAAAAGCTGGGAGCTAACACATGGCCAGGCAGGTAGTGCTGATGGGGGAAGCCAGGCAGGGAAGCTGGATTCTGGAACCCATAGCCAGCCTTTTGCGATTGCTAGGCTCTGCTCCCTGGTATCACACAAAGAGCCTATGTGACCTTGGGAAATTTGCTTACCCTCGCCAAGTCTCAATTACTTTCCTGGAAGATGAGAATAATGGTCTCATCCAGGGCTTGTCCTATGGCTGCGTGGACAGCCTTTCAGGGACAGTCTCATCCCTCGAAGAGGGACTAACGCTTCTCCCCTCCTCTAGGTGAACATCGGCTCTCCGAAGGGGTCCTGCCAGGACAAGCAGGTGAGCAGGAGGGACAGACCATGGGAAAGGCGGGGACCCTGGGAAGAAAAAGAACCTGAGAGTTGGAGGAAGGGAGGAAACATTGCTTGGCCTTGTATTCTCCAGATTTGTGGGGTTGGGGGAGTTTGGTCAAGTCTTAGGGCCCCTAGTCAGAGGGGGAGACATGGGCCCCCAACATTGGCCTTGTTCAGAGCGGGGAGAGAGTCAGCTGGCCTAGAAGGCTGATCAGCCTTTTGGATGTCTTCTTTCCTAAGACTGAGGGTCCTAGTGTCTGCTGGGCCTGCCAGCGACTCCCACCCACCTAACAGTCTCCTAACCCCACACAGGACTGCGAGAACTATATCACTCTCCTAGAGAGGCGGGGAAATGGGCTGCTGGTCTGTGGCACCAATGCCCGGAAGCCCAGCTGCTGGAACTTGGTGAGAACCCTTCCCATGTGCCCGAGCAGCCCTCATTTCTTGGGTTGGTGTCAGCCCTTTACGGCCAGACAGAGATGGGGGATTCTGAGACCAGCATTACCCTGAGCACAGTCTCTGGGAAAATAGGGTCCTGGCTGGGAAATTGGGTGCAGTGGCTGGTGGTCACGTGGTCATCTGCACCTCTGATCTCCTCCAGATGAATGACAGTGTGGTGGTGCCACTTGGTGAGATGAAAGGCTATGCCCCCTTCAGCCCGGATGAGAACTCCCTGGTTCTGTTTGAAGGTAGAACAGCACTGCCACCCGGGGCCCTGGGAGGGGGCTAATGCACCAGGCTTGGGGTAGGAGGGTCAGCCCCTTGTTCAGTGGCCCGAGCCTGGGAGGAGGACTTATAGAAGTTATTGCCCTTATCCACATGTCCTCCTACTATTCCAGGGGATGAAGTGTACTCTACCATCCGGAAGCAGGAATACAATGGGAAGATCCCTCGGTTCCGCCGCATCCGGGGCGAGAGTGAGCTGTATACCAGCGATACAGTCATGCAGAGTGAGTCAGATTGGGTTGAGGGTGGACCAAGGGGTGCGAATGTCCAGGATGGCAGATTCTATCCTGATATATTTCAAGAGGACTCCCTGAAAGGCACAGACCTGGACAGCCAGGACTGAGGAGTTTGAGTTTCTGGGAGGAGGAATTGTAAAGAGGCTGTCGGGCCAGAGAGGTCTGAATTATTCTGGGAACAAACACAGGGGAAGCTCAGACCTAGCACGAGGCTCAAGAGCCAAAGTTCATCTTTCTCATGAGCCTGTGTTGGGCAGAGGGCCCCATCTTCCTCATTAAGGCTCTGTTGATTAGGCAGAAGTGACATGGGCACCCCAGGGGGTTTCCTGCAGTCCCCAGGCATGAAGTCATTGCTCCTGGGCCCATGACATCTTTGTAGAAGAGGACATAACAGGTGTGGGGTATTGCTTTAGAATCAAGGGCCCCATGGGGCCTTAAGTGCTGTTCTCGATTCATATATATCTGGGAGAGGTGTGCAAGGTTAATGTGTACCCCACACAAGTTTCTGGCCTCATACCCTATCACCCATGTCCTTGGCAGACCCCCAGTTCATCAAGGCCACCATTGTGCACCAAGACCAAGCCTATGATGATAAGATCTACTACTTCTTCCGGGAGGACAATCCTGACAAGAACCCAGAGGCTCCTCTCAATGTGTCCCGAGTGGCCCAGTTGTGCAGGGTGAGCCAGATATGTGAGGGGTGGCTGGGTGAGTGAGAAATGTGTCTGTATATCTACAATAGGGGTGAGTGTGCATATGTGTGTGTTTGCATGCATGGCCCTGTGGGAATTTGTGTGCCTGTGAATGAATGTGGTTTAGCGTCTGTGCATATCGGATATACGAATATATGAGTTCATAAGTACCCGTGTGTTTACCTGTGTGTGTGTGTTTGTGTGGATTTGCTGTATTGTGTTTTTGTACAAGTGTGCATAGGTGAAAGTAGCAGATGTGTCTGATCATGTTTGCTATGGGGGGCCCAAGAATGTTCACCCGCAAGACCCCAACGTGGGTCCTGGCACACCAGGCTGGAGCCCACCTGAAAGCTTGTCTAAGTCTCCACAGGTATCAGCCCCTGGTAACCTGCCTTGTTCCTCAGTAGCCTGGGTGCAGCAGTTGTCTTTGGTGTACCAAGCAGCCCAGGCAAGTACTGAGGAGCATCTTCTGTCTTCTGCCCTTCCAGGGCGACCAGGGTGGTGAGAGTTCTTTGTCGGCCTCCAAGTGGAACACCTTCCTGAAAGCCATGCTGGTGTGCAGTGACCCAGCCACCAACAGGAACTTCAATCGACTGCAGGATGTCTTCTTGCTCCCTGACCCCAGTGGCCAGTGGAGGGACACCAGGGTCTATGGTGTTTTCTCTAACCCCTGGTGAGGAGTAGTTAGTGACATTAGCAGAGACAGCAGGCGTAAGGCTTGAGCTGTTACTAGGTGTGGTTGTCGTAGGCAATGTGATGTGTGTCCTATTGTGTTTTTGCCTTTGTGCACACGGTGTGTGGCCCTGGGCCCTGATTGTATTCCTGCCTATGTGTCCTGGCATGTGTGTGCTCAGAGCTGATACTAGGCCTGGAAAAGACTGAGAGCCCTCTCCTGGGGTGCTGGGTGAGATCGCACCTGCTCAAACACTGCCTGATAATTCACACTCTTTAATCAGTTTCATTGATTGAAAACAAAGCAAACAAGTGTTGGGGGTGGAGAAGAACCCTGCTTAGGCTAATGTGTGGATGGAGCCACATACTGGCTAGGACATGGAGGTCGGGGCTTTGAGGCTTTAGCACCCTGCAGCCTGTGACTGGAGGGCCCAGAGAATGACTTACTTAGCCCATGGTGGGGTTCCTCTTTCTTTAGGTGGACTAGAAAAGGCGACCTTTGAACTCCTTGATGCTGTAACAGAACCCAAGGTTGTGGTTTTAGATTGCAGTGGGGAGAACTTAGTTGAACTTGCCTCCCTCCCTCCTTTTGTTCCTCCCCTGTTTCTACTTTGTGTGATATGCTAGGCACTGGGCTCTGCTTCAGAAATAGTCTGGCTCATAGAGCTTGCAGGCCGAGGACTGTGATTGTGTTCTGTCTGGCATGGGGCTGACCAGGGTAAGTGGAGGTGGGTGTATTCTGGGCCCCCTACTAAGGTGGCTTGTCTATCCTTGCAGGAACTACTCAGCTGTTTGTGTGTATTCTCTTGGTGACATCGACAAAGTCTTCCGTACCTCTTCACTCAAGGGCTATCACATGGGCCTTCCCAACCCTCGACCTGGCATGGTGAGCTGTTGACCAACCACGGCCCAGACCCCAGCCCTTCCTGGTCTCACCTCCCAGTCCCCTACTAACCTACTTCTTTTCTCTTTTCCAGTGCCTCCCCAAAAAGCAACCCATACCAACGGAAACCTTCCAGGTTGCTGATAGTCACCCAGAGGTGGCACAGAGGGTGGAGCCCATGGGGCCACTGAAAACACCGTTGTTCCACTCTAAGTACCATTACCAGAAGGTGGTCGTCCACCGCATGCAAGCCAGCAATAGAGAGACCTTCCATGTCCTTTATCTAACCACAGGTGATGGGCTGTCCCAGAACTCTCTGATTTACTTTGTAAAAATAGATAGGAACCATTCTTTGTTATGGTACATACCTTTAATCTTACTACTCAAGAGGCAAAAGTAGGTAGATCTCGGTGAGTTCAAGGCCAGCTTGGTCCACATAGTGAGTTCCAGACCAACCCATACTATGTAGTGAGACCCTGTTTTTTGTTTTGTTTTTTTTTAAAAAAAGAAAAACAAAAGTTATGGACGGTATAAAGAACCCTGTAGGTAACATTTATGTGGGCCTTTAGGTGTGAACAGAGAATTGAGTGGACAGAGCTACCAGGAGTTAGTGTGTTGAGCTGTGGACGCTCAGGCCGAGAGGGAGGGCTTCCTGGAGGGGGTGAGGCAAAGGGGAAGCTTCCTGAGTTGAGAGAAAAGCATGCACTAGAGCTTGAGGCAGAAATGCGGTGATTGAGCAAAGCCAGGTACAGCTCTGGCCCAGGTGTCTCTCTCAACGGAGAAGGAACCAGGAGAGACAGGGAAAGCTAGCTGGGTGTGTGTGTAGGGGGAGGGACTTGAGCGCTGGACCTCCTGGGAGCCTCTGTCCTGCAGAATAAGGAGCATGGGCCTTCCATTAGACTTTGGGGCTATGCAGGCGAGAGGAAGCATTTGAAAAGTTGGTAGGGCACAAGAAGTTGCTGAAGGCAAAGCTTCATAGAGGCCTGAGATAGCATCTCCCTTTTCCTTCCTGGAGAGGCCTCCCTGAGGGAGGCTGAGTGAATGCCCTGGAGGTGCTCCTTTGTTCCAGAAAGCCTCTCTACACCCTGAGCTTAGTTTGTTTCTACCTCCTCATCCCAGGTCTTGGTCAAAACAGGGGTGGTGTCCTGAAAATAGCCTCGGAGACCATTGTGGGCCTGGCCATAGGCCTTCCTGGAGACTAGAAAGGACCCCACACCTCTGGGACCATTCTTCAGGGCCCAGGCCCCATCCTTCAATTGTTCACACTCTTTGAAGAGGCTTCCTGTTGCTGCTTCACTTTGGGGCTTCCTTGGCCACATTGGCCTGGTTGGAGGCTAAAGTCCTGGGTCATTGTTTGGCTCTTGGAAATCTTAGGGAGAGGAATTTCCCACAGGACATTGGGGACAAGGGAAGAGAGGTCACACAGTGCAGGATGGGGAAGGCTGGACTTGGGCCCAAGGAGCCCTGCTATTCCCTTCCTACATGCCTGGGCTGCAAGCATACTCAGGGAACAGAGAGGGAATCTCTTATCTTCCTGGCGGCCCATGGGAGAGACCAGTTTAGAGCCTGCAGCGTTTAGAAATATTGGGGCCAGATAAAAATAAAAAATTCTCTAGGTCCTCACCAGAGATTGGAAACTCTTACAGTGAGGACTAGCTGTGTGTCTGCTTGTCTGTATGTATCTGTGTCTGTGTGTCTGGGGTGAGAGCAGGGGCTGTGTCTGGGGCTTTGTCCGGTCCAACTAGTGTTTGGCCACATCTCAAAGCCTGCCAGTTCAAACACTGAGCCTAGAGGAACTGTCTCAGGTAGGTATCATCTGACTGCTTTTTTGGGGCAGATAATGCCCTGGGAAATGGGATGGTAAGAGAAAAGAAAGCGGCTATTCTAGAAACTGGGACAGCAGTTGAGGTGGGATTAGGAGGACCAGGGTCAGAATACCCATTAGTCCCCAACAGGTGCCAACGGAGAGAGACAGACAGTCTGGTTATGTGACCTTGGGAGCCCTCATATGGAATTCAAGGTTCTTTTCAGATCTAAGATTTTTACAGAAATTAAAATATCCCTTAAGACTAAGAGCAACGTGGAATCCTGGATTGACTTCGGGAACAAAAGAAGGACATCAGTGGAAAAACCCAAGAATCCCAAATGAAGTCTGTAGTTGAGCGAATAGGAACTCACTGGTGTCAATTGCTTAGTTGTGACAAATTCCCTCCGGTTATGTAAGATCTTCAGCTGGGGAAACTGGGAGAAGGCTAGGCAAGGACTCTATACTATCACTGCAACTTTTCTGAAAATCTAAAATTACTCCTAAAATAAACAATTAAAGCCAGTGTATCCCCCTAAGTACCTCAGAGGCAGGCAAGTTAAAAAGAAAGCCAGAGGTGGGGTTCTGACCCATCTGGGTTCCAATTTGCTCCCCGCTGTTCACCATCTGTGTGACCTTGAGCAAACAGTGCAGTTTTTCAACTCCTCCCTTCCCTTATCTGCAGAATAAGGGAGGTAACGCCTACCTCAAAGGGCAGGGGAGGGAAGGAGTAACCAAGGTAATGTGAGGTGCCAATCCCGTCGTGCTTGTTAATTGTGCAGCCTCCAATAAGCCTTTGGCATATTGGGGGCACTCATGGAGGGGACGGCCTTTTGGGATCAGCCTTGGAAACTTCCAGGCTGCCCTTGGCCTCTATCTTCCTTCTCACTCAGCTGTCCTCACCCCACCCTACCCCAGTCCTGTGACACTCACCTGAGCCATGACTCCTAAACCCTCCCCGCCAGTGTCTTTTCCTAGCAGCCCAGCCTTGAAGAAGGCTGTCTGGCTGATGTTGACTCTCTCCTCTGCTTATTACCCATAGACAGGGGCACTGTTCACAAGGTGGTGGAATCAGGGGACCAGGGACACAGCTTCGTCTTCAACATCATGGAGATCCAGCCCTTCCACCGTGCAGCTGCCATCCAGGCCATATCATTGGATGCTGACCGGGTGAGCTGTCCCACCCTTCCTTGCACCCTTGGGACCACCCAGAGAGCTGTGGGAAGTGGGGGAAGGGCTACTCTGTTTGCAGTTTGCATGTCCTTTCAAGGACCTCCAAGGTGGCAGGACCCCTCGTCAAGGGTCGAGAACCCAGTGGAGGGCTCTGGCCTGACCCAGCCTTGCTCTCTTTGCAGCGGAAGCTATACGTGAGCTCCCAGTGGGAAGTGAGCCAGGTGCCCCTGGATATGTGTGAGGTCTACAGCGGGGGCTGCCATGGCTGCCTCATGTCCCGAGATCCCTACTGCGGCTGGGACCAGGATCGCTGCGTGTCTATCTACAGTTCCCAACGGTACATTGGACAAATCCCTTTGCCCCAAGGAAAGGTGGAACTGAGAATGGGGAGGCACTGATTCTGGGGTCACATGAGGATAAGTGGGGTGCTGCGCTGCAGCCTCCCATCTGCTGATATCTGCTCCTCCTCCTTCTAGGTCAGTGCTGCAGTCTATTAACCCAGCTGAGCCACACAAAGACTGCCCCAACCCCAAACCAGGTATCTCATTTAATCCTACCCTTGGGCCCCAGCAGAGCTACGCCTCAGTTACCTTTGATCCCTTGATCTGCAGAAGGCATGGCCTTGACCTGAGGCCCTGTACCACGTCCTGCTGAGGGAACTCACGTGATATAGGGTGCTTTTGAGAGGGGTGGGGGTGGGGGAGAATGCAAGAAAAGAAAACCTAAAAGTCAGGATCCACCCCTCTCTACCCTGTTCCTTCAGAAGCCTGCTCTAGAAGCCTCATCTGCAGAACTCAGAGGCTCCCAAGGTGCTCTTGACCCCTCCTCATGCCTGTTTCCCCTTCTTCCGCAGACGATGCCCCACTGCAGAAGGTTTCCCTGGCCCGAAACTCTCGATACTACCTGACCTGCCCCATGGAGTCCCGCCACGCCACCTACTTATGGCGCCATGAGGAGAATGTGGAACAGAGCTGTGAACCAGGCCACCAAAGCCCTAGCTGCATCCTTTTCATCGAGAACCTCACAGCCCGTCAGTATGGTCACTACCGCTGTGAGGCCCAAGAGGGTTCCTACCTCCGTGAGGCTCAGCACTGGGAGCTGCTGCCTGAGGACAGAGCCCTTGCCGAACAGCTAATGGGCCATGCTCGGGCCCTGGCCGCCTCCTTCTGGCTGGGAGTCCTGCCCACACTCATACTTGGCCTGCTGGTTCACTAGGGCTTCTAGGAGCGTGGGGCACCCCAGGCTTCTGTAACCCAGGAGTACTAGAAATAAGTCACACTCACAGCCGGCCGGCCCGGGAGCTCGTTGTCCACCGATTCTTCCAGGGGTACTAAATAATCCAGTGGGGGACAAAGGGCATGGAGATGTCCAGCCGCAGGCGGCTGCTGGGGCCCAGGTGGGGTAGGGACAGTGAGGGACTGCAAAATGAAGGCATCGACTGTGAAGCTGGGCCATCAGTGACCCCAGACTTTATCTTCCCAAGACTATTTTTCAAAATCTCCTCACACTTGACTTCGTGCAGCGATGCACTTGGCCTGAGAGCCCAGCAGCCTGGCAGTGGCTTTGGGAAGGAAGTTGGGGCTCTCATCTCTGGACCTTGGGGCCCAGGCCTGGGTCCTTTGGGACCACTGTGCCCAACTGCTTCCTTCCCTGCCCCACTGCTGGGTGGCCAGTGTTCCTGCAGACCCAGGCTGCTCCTCTGCACCTCCCTCACAGCCTGGGTCCCACCGGACAGCGCCTTGCATGTTTATTGAAGGATGTTTGCTTTCCGGACGGAAGGACGGAAAAAGCTCTATTTTTATGTTAGGCTTATTTCATGTATAGCTACTTCTGACTGCATCTGTATGAAATACCAAAACTACATGCTGGGGGGCGGGTAGAGGGAGGGCTTGGGAAGGGAGGGTGGGGGCTCATCCCAGGCTGGGGCTCCCTGGGATGGAATTGGAGTCCAGGGATAGGCATGGGTTTGAAGAGCGTGGCATGAGCTGGCTCTGCCCCGAGAGCCCAGTCTGAGGGCATGAGCCTCCAGTATGGGGTGGTTAGGGAGGGGTGGGTGAGGGAGACAGGGGAGAGCGAAGAAGAAAACTGAGCCCTAGGTAGATTTGCCGTGGTCATTTTGAAGGAGGAGCCGGGTCCACAGGGGGAGGTTCCAGGACTCTGCCCTTGGCGTTGGGGGTTGGGGGGCAGGGGGAGACTCCTCCCTTCCCTTCAGCCCCCTTCCCCAGGGGCTGTGCTTCCATGCTCCTAGCCTCCCACCTTCAGCTCAGGACATGTCCTAACTTAGGCTAAACTGTGAAAATTCCCGTGGAGATGGCCCAGGCCGAGCTCTCCAAGTGGGCCTCCCTGCCCCCAGTCCATGGATTTCAGCAGAGAGCTGACCCTTCTCCAGCTGTGTCTGGGGTGGGGCCTGGGGCCGGGGGCCTTCCAGCTTCCGTCCCTTATCTCTTCTCAATGCACTTTAATAATGTAACATATTACTAATAAACAAGCTATTTATTTACCTCTGCCTGCTCCCTGTCTTCCATGTCTGTGGCGCTGAGTGGGGTGAGCCTCCTGTTGGTCACTCGGTGCCTCTTGTCTGCGAGCATCACTGTCTCAGTTTTCCCAAGTGATTCTGCTGGCAGGCCGACTCAGAGGACCTCAGCCAATGAAGGGAAGAAACAGGGGATGTGAACTTGCGGCCACTCAGCAAACCTCAAGCCTGCAGCCCTTTCCTCCCATAGCTTGAACGGCTTAACCTTCCAAGTCTCTGCTTCCCCTGGGAGACCTGGCCAGAATGGCTCTAGAGGCAGCTACCAGGCCTCCCATCTGAGAGGGGAAACTGACCAGTGAGGACCTTTAGGATACGCTGGAAGGCTGTGTGCAAGAGGCTGGTGGGGCCAGGATAGGACCAAAGAATGGTTGTTTGCTCTTGGTCAGGCAGCTTGGAAAAGAGAGTGGGCTGCATGCCATTCTGCTCTAACTCGAGCATCCCCTGTTAGAGAAAGGATCAGAGCAGAGGCAGGTGAGAAAGGGGAGGAAATGAGGAGGCTGCTCAGTGGATGGAGGTCAGTCAGGACTAAGGACAGTGGCTACGGGATAGATGTGGGGATAATACCTGACAGCTCAGAAAGGAGCCCAGATATTCCCCCTTATGACCTTCCCTATGGTTGGTTTTCTCTACCCCATGAAAAAAAATTATTATTTTAGCTGGGTGGTGGTGACACATGCCTTTAATCCTAGCATTGGGGAGGCAGAGGCAGGAGGATCTCTGAATTCGAGGCCAGACTTGTCTGCAGAGTGAGTTCCAGGACAGGCTCCAAAGCTACACAGAAAAACTCTGTCTTGGGAGAAAAAAAAAAAAAAGAAAAACAACAACACCCCCACTCCCAAGATTTATGTGTATGGATGCTTTGCTGCATACATGTTTGTGCATCATATGCATGCCTGGTGCTTGCAGAGACCAGAAGAGGGTGTTGGATCCCTTGGAAGTGGAGTTACATTGGATAGTGGGTAGTAATAAGTCACCATATGAGTGCTGGGAATTGAACCTGGGTCCTTGAAGATCAGTCATTGCTTTTGACCACTGAGTCATCTCTCCAGCCCTGTCTGCCCCATTTTGTTTTTGTGTCTTTGTCCATCTGGGGCAGGGACCAAGGTCTTTGGAGCTTCTTAGGAGCTTTCCTACTGAAGTAGTAACTGCTGGAGAGGGGTGGTTAGCCTATCTGGGACAGTTTCTGTGAGTCAACCTAGCTTCTAGAGAGCTATGAAAGATTGGGAAGGCCCTAACCCCCAGCATTTTCTGTCCACTTGGGCCAGCCCAGGGCTGATGATTGTCCCACTTTTTTTCTCCCCCAACTCTGTCTTCCCAGGGTGGCCAAAGTGGTGCAAGTGGGTGGGACTGTGGGTTTCCAGGTCTCCCAGGAATCCAGATCTGTGGCCGGAGCAGAGTCCTCAGCTGCTGGCGCCTGCTGTGGTTTGGGACGGTTTCTGCCCTTCAGAGCCTCCAAGGCTCTAGCCCGAGTTCTCTGGCTTACGGTAGCAGCTGTTCTTCCGGCTTACAGTAGCAGCAGCAGCAGCAGCAGCAGCGACAGCAGCACTAGCACTTCGCAGTCTTTCCTGGAAGATATCAGATAAGGGAAGGAATGAGCTTCAGCCTCCCAGTAAGCAGAGCAACTAATGAGGAAAACGGTTTTAATCCTGATGGCTCCTGGGCCATGGCTGACCTCTGGGCGGTCCCTGTCTTCTCTGTGCCCCAACAGCCTTCCTCTTCCTTCGTGAATGCTCGGGGTATCCTGATGTGCCAGTAGAAGGGACCCAAGTGACTGAGCACACTCCTTTGTCTCTACAAAGGAGACTCAGCCAGGCAAGAAGCCTTGTGCATCCAGGCGTGAAATGAGCCCATGTAGATCCCATGTAAATGAGCCATCCGGGAGCAGGCAGTTGGGGACAAGGTTCTTGTCTGTTTGCCCTGACGGGTGATCAGCATCCGGGACTTCAGGCTGGCAGTGGGTAGACAGGGCTGTTTAGCTAGGCTCTGCGGCCAGCAGACCTGCTGTGAGGATGGCCACAGGATATCCACAGTGTAAGGGTTGGCTGTGGATGAAAATGAGTCTCATCCTTCTGCCTCTGTCTTATGCATTCTCTCTAGGAAGCAGAGAAAGGGCAAAGTCTGTGAGGGACCAAAGGCTAGCTACTGGGGAGCTCAACTGGAGACTTTCCTGCTCCCTGCACCCAGCCTGTTTCATATATCTGAAGGGCCACACAGACAGATGTGCCTATACATCCTACCCCTTCCTGGTCTCCTGGCAGGGAATAGAGGCCTGTTTGTCTTCCAAATCCCTTTAACTACTCCATCTCTCTGCAGGCCCATGCACTCTGATCTACCATCATATCTCCGATCCTACCTTTCCATCCTCCATCTATTGTTCCTGGAACTCCCATGCCTTGGCACCTGTGTTCTGTTTCCTTGGGATGCCAAAAGGATGCTTCCAGAAGGAGGTTTCCTGGTGACCTGAGATTCCCCAGAGGGCCCTGGTCTCATCATTCCTCAGCTTGCTTGCCACCAGAGCAAGCAAAAGGCAAGAAGTATTTGGAAGAACGTACATAGATGCAGACCCCAAGGTATCCCAGGAGAAAAGGCGCCTACCCTGGAGCCCCTCAAAGACTAGTAGGGAAGAGAAACCAGGGGCTAGATGGTGACCGTTGGTGAGATGACCCTAGGTCAGAGGTAGGAGCCTACAAGTCACCCAATCTACCTGGTGATGCTTTAGAGGATGTATACCCCCCCCACACACACACACACTCTCTCTCTCCAGATAGAGAGTGGCAGTGGAAGAAGAATGAACTGTTTTTGCCAAGGTAGGGGTCAGGGTGTATGGACTTGTGGGCCTGGCTGGAGTACAGTGAACTCCGCAAAGGCAGGAAGCCTTCCCAGAGCTGCTTGCAGCAGTAGCCTCAACCCGTGGGCCAGTCAGTGCCTTTCCCGGTAGGTGCTGCATACGCTTTGGTGAATACCTAACTGAGATGAAAGGAAGGAATGCTAGGAAGTGAGACTGGATAGCTTCATCATGTGCCAGACCCCGGGAGCTAAACCCCAGATCTTTAACCTACGGGAACCAAGGAGTCACTGAAGGACACTGAGCTGGGGTAGGGGAAGCAGTAACGAGAACAATGCTAAGGATAGGTCAGGTCTGAAGATCTCACATCCAATCCTTAATCTGCTTCAACCAAAACACCACACTCCTCCTCTGGAGTTCAGAACTTCCAAAGCCTAATTTTAGTCTGTCATTCTCTAGCTGAAGAAGGATATGGAGCCATCTCAGCTAGGGTGGGTGATCCCAGTGAGGGTGCCAGACAGGAGGTCTGTGGGTGTGGGCTGGTAGAAAGGGATTGACAGCTAAATCAGCCTCAGGAAGCTCTTTCATGTTGGTGTTGGTTAGCTAGGGGAGGAAGAAACTTTGGGGGGAAAAAAAACCAAGTATATTTTCAGGGTCACCAGTGGCGGCAAGCCAGTCCCACAAAGGGAATGACACAGGACCACATCCTGGAGGCACTCTGTGCCAGAACTGCTGGCCTTGACCGTGACAAGGATTCTGCACTCAGACTGCTGTTGCTCCAGGTTAAGCACAGTGAATGGGCTTAGAGGCTTAGAAGCGAACACACCCTTAAGGTTGGGCCTCCATCACCTTGGACAGAAGCAGGCTTGTTACTTGACGGAGCTATTGCTCCTGCAGCTACAGATGTCGCGGATCAAGTGTGGCCTTTCTTTCTCCATATTCAGATGAGTGCTTTTCTCCACACGGGTACCCTTCCAGGGTCACTGTGCCCTTTAAGTGTGACTTATCTGATGTAAGATGTCCAGCAAGGGTAAAGACACAACAGACTTCAAAAATCTAAATATAGAAAAAACAGCTACGTGGACAACACATTGCAATGATAGTTTTTAGTTTTTTTGTTTTTTGTTTTTTGCTGTTGTTGTGGGTTTCTTTTGTTGTTGTTTTGTTTTTGAAGTAGTGCCTCACTATGTAGCCCTGGCCTGGAACTCACTGTATGCACCAGGTTGGCCTCAAACAGAAACTGCCTGCGTCTGTCTCCCAAGTGCTGGGATGAAAAACATGTGCCCCCATACCTGACTATCTATTTTAAAATGTATTTATTACTTTTGTTTACATATAATATACACACCTCTGTGACTTTACATGCACATGTGTGTATAGATGTCCCAGAAGCCAGAGGGTACTGGATCCCCAGGAACTGGAGTTACAGCTCATTGTGAGCTGCCTGCTGTGTGTGGGAGAGGACCCAGGTCCTGTGAAAGAGCAATATGTGCTCTTAAAGCTGAGCCACCTCTCCAGCCCCTTCCCATCTAGTTATTTTATTTTTATTTTTTT